GCTTCTGTCCTGGCTCAGCGTCACCCCCGCTCCGCACCAGAGCAGGCAGGCCAGCCCCGTCCGGCCCCGGTCCGGCCACCAGGGGGTGCTGTTGCCCTTCTCTCCGGCGCTGCCGGCCCGCCGACCGCATGCAGGGGCTGCTGCCTCCGGGCTTCCACGCGGGTCCTTCCGATTCCTGCCCGGGCAGAGAGGGCAGTCCCTGGGCCCTGAGGGCTGACCTCGGGCATCGCGGGGGTGCGGGGGTGGGAGAAAATAGGGTCAGCGGGAGAGTGACCGGAGCGGAGCCGCCTTCTCCGGGGCTCTTAGAAAGGAGGCGCTCCGTAGGTCCCTCTGCCTCTCCGGTCCTTGCTTGCTCTGCGCACCACTGCAGCGGAGAACCTGATCCCTTCCTTGGACTGGCTGCAGCGGCGTCTCCTTCAAGTGTCCCCACCTGGCAGGGCCTCCCCCGGGCTCTTCTTGGCTTCGCTTCCAGCCACAACGGTTGTCAGCCTTCCTGGACATGAAGGCCGGAGCGGGCGGTGCCTTTGCTGGGACCACCGAGGAATTAAACCAATAGCAACCTTGTGAGGATGAAAGCCACCTCCTGAGCCTCGAAGCACAGTGACCGGAGCGGAGCCGCCTTCTCCGGGGCTCTGTAGAAAGGAGGCGCTCCGTAGGTCCCTCTGCCTCTCCGGTCCTTGCTTGCTCTGCGCACCACTGCAGCGGAGAACCTGATCCCTTCCTTGGACTGGCTGCAGCGGCGTCTCCTTCAAGTGTCCCCACCTGGCAGGGCCTCCCCCGGGCTCTTCTTGGCTTCGCTTCCAGCCACAACGCCTTGGCCCCTGCATGCGCCGCGGGAAGAACTGCGGGAAGGGAGAGGCCGGCTTGGTTCCCTGGTTTCGGGGGTGGGGACGAGACCCGAGCCAAGGAGCCTGGGCACCTCTTCGGCCATTAAAGCAACCTTACCCGCCGTAGATCTCCTCGCCCCCCCCCCCGGCACAGGGAGGGCAGGGCGTCCCTGCTTCAAGGGCAGCGGTCTGTCCGAGGGAAGTGGCCCGAAGAACTGCGGGAAGGGAGAGGCCGGCTTGGTTCCCTGGTTTCGGGGGTGGGGACGAGACCCGAGCCAAGGAGCCTGGGCACCTCTTCGGCCATTAAAGCAACCTTACCCGCCGTAGATCTCCTCGCCCCCCCCCCCGGCACAGGGAGGGCAGGGCGTCCCTGCTTCAAGGGCAGCGGTCTGTCCGAGGGAAGTGGCCCCGCCAGCGGCTGATCTCCTCGCTGGGGGGGCCGGCTTTTTGTCTCCACCTTTCCCTCGGTGGAGGGGAGAGGAGAGGAGGAAGGAAGGAAAGGAAAGGAAGGAAGGAGCTAATGATGAATAGAAGAGAAGGAAGGAAGGAAGGTATTCAGCGCCAGGAAGCACGAGAGCTTCGGTCGGGGCTGCAGCGCAGCAAGAACAAAAGACGAAAGGGAGACCTGGCGCGCCTCCTGCACCACGTTTTTGCTTGGGCTCTGTCTGGGAAGGAGGGACACCTCGGTCGGGCTTTTGAGACGGGCAGGGCAAACGGCCGGTCTTCACCCCGCGAGGGCCCGGCGTTGAGGTGAGGAGGCGCCCGTGGTGGATGGAGGTGTCGAGAAGGCACAAGTGAGAACTCTCGCTCTACACGCTGGTAGGCAAGGCCTGCAGGGCAGCCGCGTTCCAAGACCCGCGAGTCGAGCGCCTTCTGCGACGCGGATCGCAGGCCTTGAGGAGGAGGCTGCTGTGGGGCTGCCCGCGGGCCTCGCCCAGAAAGGCTGGCCGAAGCGACCACCGCGCGTGACACCCAGGCGGTCGCATCCTGTGCCCTGGAGAGACCGCGCCACCGGCACCCGCTCGGATCGCCAGCCACGCACGGGCTTCCCCTTGGCTTCCGCGCTCAACCCGCAGGGCGCAGGGCCCTCCCCAGATCCGAAAGACGTCCCCTCCTGCGCAGACCTGCCTGGAATCTGTCTGGGGTCCGCAAGAGAGAGAGAGAGAGAGGCGAGACTGATGGTCGCTATTCCACAGGAGGCTTCCTGCTCAGAAGTCCCTTAGACGTGGACACGCCCACGCCCCTCCCTGGTGAGGTCAGGCTGGCCTCATCCTGCTGAACCCCTGACCGGCAATCACAGCTACCCTCCCCTGCAGGGCCTCGGTCCCTCCCTGGCCGGACGGCCCTTCCGGCTGTCAAAGACAAACGGTTTTTAGGGAATGCCTGGATCTGCTGTGAAAGGATGTTTTTAACCTGTTTCAAGTCATGTTAAAAGACAGTCATGTTAAAAGACAGACAGAGACTTTTCCACATCCCTCCCAGATGGGAGCCTATGGTCAGCCTGCCGGAGATGGAGGCATCAGTGGGGGGGGTGCATTTCAGACCCCCAGCAAGGACTGGGCAGCGCTTTTTCCCCGGCCAGGCGGACAGCGTCCCCCGCCATCCCCGGCCTGCCCCACTCCGACCCTCCCTCGCAGGCGATGGGGCGCGTCTGGGATCCGC